CCCATCCCTCTGCAGGAAGCCTGCCTCTTCCCAGCGCCCGGTCTTTACTTAATCCCGCCTGCCCCTTCCCGACCCCCAAGGAACAGTGTGGGGTGCAGTCCTTGAGTGTCTTCCTCCTCCTGCCCGGTGGAGGGGTCACTCACTGCTGTCCCTGGGAGACGCCCTGTGCCTGGTGTGGGGGTGGTGAGCTCCGGAGAAGCCGGCCAAGCCTGCAAGGGCGTAAACTTTACCTGCAGGCACAGACCCTGGGAGAGGGAGTGAACACAGCCCCCGCAGCTGGCAGCTGGGCCGTGATGTTCTTCACTGAACATAAACAACGGTCACCGAATATAAACAACGATCAGACAAGGCCACAGTGGCAGTGTCTGCACCAAGATAGAGGCAATGGCGTTCTGCCTTCAGAGAGGAGCACGCAGCCCCCCTCACCGGGCAGAAATGACTGCCACTGCCTACCAGCCACAGCTCCACCTCAGTCTTCCCACCTGAGGAAACCCAAGTACCCAGTCACCTGTCTGCTCCCCGCTTCCCGAGAGCAGCAGCCTCCTGCCCCTTTCTCACTTACAGGGAGGCCCCGGAAGTGAGTCCCCAGCACGCGGTCTTTCTTGCTGGAAGAAGTTAAGAAAATCTTTAAAAAAACATATTCTTCAAACATGTTTCTGTGAGTATTTGGCCCGTGAGGGTCGACTGCACGTCCCCTGTCCCCTGGAAGATAGCCTTGAGTAAGTCAGGCTTCCAGGAGTCTGTTCTCTTCCTGCCAGAACCTTCTAGATCTCTGCTGAACTTATGACCCGGGAGAACTGCCTTTCCTTTTTCTGTGGCCCACAAGCTATCTGAGAGATTTGAAACCACAGTTGGATTATGTCTCTGGTTCCTCATCCTGCCACCTTCTGGATGATCCCATTACAGATAGCACTTGTAGTAACCGTTGTTTCTGTCTGCTCAGATTCTCTCCACTCCAGATACTCCCTTCTAACACCGCCCCCGGTACCACGCAGTCTAAACTGACGAGGGAACCAATTCCCTGGCCACAAGTCTGTAGTAAGAACACATTGAAGAGTCTCACCCCCCAGGATCATTAGCTGTATGTAGGCTTCAGTCTGCCTGCACTCACCTCCCCAGTAGATCACGTCTGTAGACTTACGTCAGTCACTCAAGACTTAAGACTGTCAGTCGATCCCAAGATACAAATGCGAGGGTCAGAAACACAGCTCTGGCTACCGAGGGTGAGCTCCTGGATATAGCCATACCTGAAGCCAAGGAGCCCTCATTTTCCCAGTACCACCAGCCAACAAATTTGACGCTATTTTTTTTTTTGTGGATTCTTGTCCTTTGCATCCATCACAAAGAACTAGTTTATAAACCAGTGCCTGGAAATATTGAAGGAAATAACTTTAAATGTGAAGCTCATGGAGCAGAGGTGAGCAGAGTCACCACCTTTTCCTCTGAATAGGGTTCCCAAGCTCTGTGCGGTACACAACCTGCCGGATGCCTGTGTCAGCCCTGCGGGAGAGCCCTCCTCTGGGAACCAGAACTGTTACGTGGCAGAAACAGAGCTGGCTAAAGCATTGCCTGCTTTTGAGACTCTAATCACGTGTCTTCTGAGAATGTGACTTGAGGGGTTTTGGGGAAAATATCAGGGTGTTTAAACATGGGTGCCTTCACCAAGGTCTTGTCAACAGACATGAGCCTCATCTTTGTGCTCTTCCGAAAGCAAAAACTAGCATCTGCTGGATTCTGTCAGATTTCCAGAGCTGAATTCTCTGCCCCAAGCTATAAAGGGAAGCTAGTAATGGGTGGGGGGGAATAAGAGTGGGATTATCAGAGAATTGGGGGACACTTGGCTACCCTAACACTGAACACTCGATGTTTATAAATAACAGTTCCCCTCAGTGAGAGGGCCTATTAGCCAAGTCTTTCCATCCTCCAGATTGTAACCTTAGCAAGATAGATGTGAAGCGGGTGGGCAGGCCCTTGTCTGTTGCTAGGAGACAGGCTTCCTGCACAGTTGAGCTCCAGACTGAAAGACATTGTTGAGGTTTGGAGACCAAGCCACCCAGGGGTGGGCTTGTGAGCTGAGCATCCAATCACAGTACTCTGTTCATCTCCGCACAATGACCGGTTCATACTCAGAACAGGTCAAATGGGCCAATCAGAGTGCTCCACACACTCCAATATGAGAAGTTAGGAGCTAGACCCTCTTCTTTCTGTGGGGCATTAATCAAAAGGGGTGGGTGCCCTGATGAGCTGGCATGCCCACGACACCTCACTCCAGTCTTTTTGTTTCAAGACCTCGATAGGGGTGGATTTCTGTCACTAGGAACAAGATTACCTAAGATGAGCGCGCTTTAGGTCCATTCACCAAACTGCAGTCAGCTGCTGAAGACACCACACACATGTGCCACATAACCCAGTGACCACTCCGTGAAGGAAGCACTGCCCTCCGCAGTCAGTGAATGAGGGTGACATCGCTTCCCCAAGGGCAAGTCTGAATTCTGCTGCTCAGAAATGCTTTCCATTGATGTAGCGTTTGGCTTCAAAAATTGTTTTCCCATGTTCAGTCCTATGTTACTCATTTTATAAACAATTTTTGTGATTCAAATATACTATTTTGGGGGGTGAGATATAGTATGAATAGCTCTAAATCCATAAAATACATCCAGAATCAGCATAACATAGTGTCGTTCTGCACTAATTAAATATTTCTTATAAAGTTTCTCTTCTTTTCTATCAACTCACCCCAGGGCGGTCAGTTATATTGTGAGACTTCAGGCTGTGTTGAAATCTGCCTGCTTGTATCTCCTGCCATTGTTTCTGCTCTGGTATCTGAGGTGCTTTAAACCATTCCTGGAACCAGGAAGGAGCATACAGGGTTCTGAGACAGGCACCACAGGGAGCTGAACATCAAAGTTAACTTCCTGAGCTGTCTGGTAGGCAGTGCAATAAGGGAAAGTCTTTTGGTCAGACTTGATCAACAGGTGGACCGCTTCCATTAGAGGAGCGTGATTTTGTCCTGGAGGTCTTGTAAAAGGGTTTATTGCAGAGATTCTCAACCAGGGCAATTCCCTGCAGGAAATATCGACAATGTCTGGAGGTATTTTGGTTATCACAACTTGGGAGGGAGCTGTGTGCTGCCAGCAAACTGTGATTTGAAGTTACCGGTAATGGTACACACCCCATACTCGACAGTCTTGACACTAAAGAATTAGCTAAGATGTCCACAGTACTGAGGTTTATCATGAGCCCATTACAAAGTGTGTCATGCATGTCATTAATGGAAGCAGGCAGAAGAGATGTCCTCAGCTAGTGGACCCTCTCGTGGTCAATGTGGACACAATGAGCATAGCTGAAGGCCAGCTCGCTCCCATGGAACCCAAAGCTACACTCCTGTCTTTTCTGCCCTTTACTGCCCAAGGGAGCAGGCTCCTGGCAGGGCTTCTGGTTAGGCTCTCACTGATTCATTGGCACGATGGCCTTAGTCTTTGAAGTTCTCACTACAAGGTTTGGGAGTGTACAAATTCCTTAAAGCTGAATTTTTAACAGTGTACGGAGGCAAGTCCCTGGTATGGCTGCTGAAGAGAGCCAATGAAGTTCTCCGCTGTCAACAGAGACTCAGTGAACTTGCAGCAAGGGGGAGGGGTGTGGGGAGAGCCTTGAGAGCAGCTCTGTCTCTCACTCTCCCCGCCCAAGCTTTTATTAAAGATATAAACAAAGGGACAAGAAAATAGCACACAACGGTGCTTATGCTTATACACTCATGTCACTGCTGCAACAGGTTTTTCTAGTTAGCAGGGAACATGACACCAGTGAGCACGTCCTCAGAGGACAGGAGTCAGTTCTGGGAAGAAGTTCCATTTACAGAACTTTCAGCCTCCTGGAATTCCACAAGCAGAGTAAACAGGTGCTCTCAGAGAACTCCAGCTGCCAACACATGGCCACCAAGATTCAGCTTATCTCGGGCTAAGCTGGCTTCTTTTATTTTTTAAAATAAAAGATTTATTTATTTATGCATACGGCACGGGGGTACAGGCCAGAGTTGTGGGGGTGAGAGGATTCACCAGAGACAGAGCAGGGAGCAGGACAGGCCGGCTGACAAAGTCCACTGCTGAGGGGAGCCGCGGATGAGACAGGAGAGGTCTGCTGAGCCCTGGGGGTCACTTCCCGGGGTGGAGTGGGATCAAACTCAGACCAAAGCAGCTGCGGCTTTAAGCTGCGCCTTCAGGGAGGGCCCTAGGCTAGCTGGCTGCTTACTGATGCCAAACCTTCAACTGGAGGGTTGGGGGCGCTGTCCGAGGTACCGGTTGTTGACACGCTCTCTCAGTCCTGTCACTCAAGGCCATTAGAGCCCCTCTCCAGCTTCCTCCTTTCCTCCCTGTCCATTTGTCCCTGACTTTGAACCTATCCCTCTCAGCTGAATCACGTCCTGCTTAATTTCATCAGTTTGCTTCTGGGCCCAGTTCCGGCATGGGGCCCAGAAGCCCAGCCAGCCAGTAGACCGTTCAGGCCCAGCACCGCCCACAATGGAGGAACCTGCTGTATCCTCAGGTGTCCACCCCTCCACTGGCCCTCCAGGTCCTACCGGTCTCTCCACATCTTCCTCACCCTCCTCACTTCTGTCCTCAGAAGGTAGGTTTCCCTCCTGGACGTGCCAGCCACCCTCACATTGACAAGTATGTACATTTCCACCTACAACAACTTAAGAAAGCTACTATTTACCTCCGTTTTACAGATGAGGCGGCTTAGAAGAGCAAATGACTGGCCCCAGACTACTATCCAGGATGTGCACTCTGTCCGTTTGGCCCCAGAAGCCTGCACGCTCAACTCTCGGCACAGAGCATTGGGGCTCATCTACCCACCTGAACACCCTACACCACCTCTCAAGTCTGCACAAGCTCGTGTAGTTTCCCTGCCCAAAGTGGGGTGGCTTCCAGGGTCCTCTGACGTGTCTGTTCAGGGTCATCTCTCCTGTACAGCCCACACACCTCTAAGTGTCATTGCCGCAGCTGACTGATGGAGGGGAAGGATTTTGCCAAGGCAGTGTTTATTGCTGGCTAGGGCATGGGTAGACAGGGGCCTGGGGGGCCTGGGGGTCTGCCTTCCCAGCCCCACAGCCCCACTGGCGAGAGGTGCCCAGGGGCACGTAGCTCTCCTGGGAGTTGTCCGCTCTCAGCACTACTGGGCCTTGGTATTTGAAGGTAAAGTTATCGTTGTAATGAGTTGAGAGGAAATGCTGTCTGCCCAGTGGTGGCTCCATGTGGCTGTATTTGCACTGCAGGATCAGGGTGAGGAGAGGAGGCTGGAACGTGGTGGACTCACCCTGTCCTCCATGGTCCCCCCACCACCCTGAAGCATGAACTGGTGGGGAGAAGCTCAGGCCAGGTTGGCCAGCTGCTGGAAAGGTGGACAAAAGGGGCCCCAATCTCATCTGACCCAGGAGCTAGAGGAGAGGATACGTGGGGAGGGTCCCTGGAATGGACCCATGGCGGGTGCTCCTAGTGACTGAGCTGGCCTTCTGTTGGTAGCGGCTGTGGACACGGGATGCTCCTGACCGACTCTGACATGACCCTGGGAGTAAGCAAGGATGACCTTGGCGCTGGGTGACACTAAGATGACCTCAAGCTTGTGGTGACTCAGGGACCTTGAGTGGACTAAGTTTGAGTCTGAGGGGATGTGATCATCCCAAGATAACTCTACACTGATTTGGGGTGTCCCCACCCCCTCACCCGCTGTAGCATCTCCTCAGTCATGGAGGCTGGAGCTGTTCTGTGTGGCTTCAGCATCTTCTGGTTAGTGGTTTGAAAATCTAATTCTGGAGATTAGGGTTGGGGTGGCCGCATGAGGAGGGTTGAGAGAGAAGCAGGGCTCAGGGGCAAAGACGTCAGAGACTAAAGAAGGGGTCAGGGTGTCAAAGATTGGGCCAGCTGGGGTGAGGACTGAGGAAGCCAGAGGTGGGCGAGAATAGAGGTGGTGAAGGCGGGGCAGAGGTCACGGGCTGGGGTGCCGAGTCCGGGAGAAGGGGCGGGTGAGGAGGATATGGGAAGGGGCGGGGCTATGGCCTGATAGAGGGCGGGGTCAGCAGGAGGCGGAGCCTGAAGGAAACTGGGGTGCGTGGGGGGTCATGACCCTTGGCGAGTTGTCCATGGGGCGAGTGGACATCTTAGTCCAGGCTGTGGGGCCCTTGGGAAGGCAGCAACAGAGTGGACGGTGGG